TGGGGTTTGTAGAGGCTGGGAATCATTCCTAACTCGTAACTCTTCCTAATTTGTGCTCTAAGACTATAGTTGCTGCTAGACCGCCGTTTGCTCAAAATACTCTTACGTCGTCATTCCTTTATGAATCAAATGATTCAACTTGCTATTTGTAGGCGACGTCAAGACGCTCCAGATCCAATGTATAGCACCTAATTTAATGCTGTAACCAGAACGCTACCAATGTTTGAAGCCGCTCTGCGAAAATGCGTCTGTGCACTCTAGCTTTCGTTTTAGGTACATTTGAGCCTATTGTGCCAATAACAGGGCGTGCGATAGGGGGCTGGTGCAGGTGGAATTTTGAAGCGCTCGCCTAGTTGCTCCGCATACTTGGAGGCTGTCAGGTGAATTGCTTCTGGCGCGTAAGGGATGTTCAAACCCAAAAACTGCGTGACTTTGTGGTTGATCGTGATGTCGACGCGCTGCGCCGAGTTCTGCTCGAACTAGTTGAGGAGCGTGTTACTGGTACCTGCGTACAGCAGGTCGTGGATGTAGGCTGTCAGCACGATGTAGTCGCCTGTGAAGTGAAGGCTGTTATAGTCACAATAGGCTTGAATGTGCCTAAAACGAAAGATAGAGTGCACAGTCGGATTTCTGCAGAGCGGCTTCAAACGTTGATAGCGTTCTGGTCACAGCTTCAAATGACTTGATTCAAATTGGATCTGGAGCTTCTTGATGTCGCCTTCACTTGGAAGTTTAGATTGCACAATTTGATTAAGCATTGACGACGCAACGTCGGTTTGAACGAACGGCACTATGGCAGCCACTATAGACTTAGAACACAAATTAGGAAGAGTTACGAGTTGGGAATGACTCCCAGCTCCTACAAACCCCAAGAGCCGAGGTACAGTGATGTGGAACAGTGCCACACTGTCCCCAACAACGAAGGGTCTCGAAACTACCCTCCACAAGGGCCTACATCAAGAGAAATGTCACACTACACAAAGTAATGCAACTATTCTCACTATCTTAAAGTTTACCCTTTTGGAGAGCTTCGAAATCACTTGAATCTTGAAACCAAGGCTCTGGTTCTTCAAGATAAAATTTTCCTTGAGTTCTTGGAATTCTGCTGCGCACACCTGCGACACGCCGAACGTTCCACACACGACAAAATAGAAAAACGCACACGACACGCAAACAACGACGTGACACGCGACTAGCGATAACTCGTTATTGACTCGACACACACATCCATGCCTCATCATTCACACACTATTATAAGCATGAAGTATATATTATCTCATGCCCTCATACCATTCCATGCACACACGCATGCACGCACACGGACAACAAGCCGAATGCAAACCGTAGGGTTGCACCAACAAACTCCCCCTCGGATTGTTGGCCTTAGGAACTTGCTCTCTCAGTTCAGAGCAATCCCAGCCAGCTTGCAACACTTCCAATGCTGTTGCTCCACCAGCCTCTCGGTCACCATGTCAGTTGGCTGCCCCGTCGTCTTTACGTAGCGCAACTCAACTTCACCCGCGGCCACCATGCTCCTTGTCCAATGCCACTTCACCCTCATGTGCTTCGTGAGGCCATGCAACACAGGGTTCTTAGCAAGAGAAATGGCACCTTGGCTATCACAGTAGAGTGGGGTAGGTCCTTGCTGCTCCTCCCCCAATTCAGCCAACAAACGCCGCTGCCACACAATCTCCCGTACGGCACGGAAGAGTGCCATGTACTCGGACTCCACCGAGCTCAATGCTTGATCCACCTGCTTCTTGCTCTCCCAAGCAGTTGGGCCTCCACCAACACAGCAAATGAACCCTCCAACACTTGTCATGTCCTCTGTTTCAGAAGCATAAGAAGCATCCGAGAATGCTGTGAGGAACAAACGCCCGGGTTCAACACCATCCACGCCCTTTTGGCGCCTTTGCGCCGCCGCCGAGTATTGCAGCCCAACGGTCGGTGTTTGGCCAAGATACTTGGCCACCCTCATTCTAGCTGCTACCTGCTCCTCATTAGGGCATTGAACAACCCTAACCAACTGTCCGGTAGCAAACGCGACGTCCGGTCGGGTGTTTACCGCCGCGTACATGAGGCTGCCCACCAACGAGTGAAAACGGCGCCTCTCCTCTTCACCAACGCTCTCCTCCTCTGGTCCCTTCACACACTTGAACCCAGAGGGAAAGGGTGTAGCCACATGGCCTTCACTCTGCCCAAAATTGGCAGCCAATGCCTCCAGGTACTTCCGTTGATGCACCCGCATGCACCGCTTCTCCACATCTCGTTCGATGTGGAGCCCAAGGTAGAAGCTCACGTCTCCAAGGGCCTTGCACTTCAACTTGTCTTGAAGCTTCAGCATCACCTCCTTCACAAGATCAGAGGAGGGTGAGAAAATTAGGATGTCATCCACGTACACAACCATGAAGCTCCTCTGCTCCCCCTCGCCAAGCATGAACAATGAGTGATCGGCCGTCGAGGGAGTGAAGCCGATCTCCTCCAAAACTCCTCGTAGCTTCAAGTACCACTGCCTAGGGGCCTGCTTCAGTCCATAAAGGGCCTTCTTAAGCTTCAAAACTCTGCCACTACCATCATCAAACCCCTCTGGCTGCGCCATAAAAATCTCTTCCTCAAGGACGCCGTTGAGGAATGCCGTTGTGACATCCATTTGTTCCACCACCCATCCTTTGATGGCAGCTCCCGCGAGTAGGGTTCGCAGCGTCGTCGGATTCACCACAGGAGCAAACAACTCCTTATAGTCCACCTTCTCCTTCTGCTGGTACCCCTTGGCCACGAGCCTAGACTTGTAGCGCTCGATTTTGCCATCGGCGTCGGACTTGATCTTGAAGAGCCACTTGGACGTAATCGCCTTACGCCCCTCCGGTAGCTCCACCAATTCCCACGTGCCGTTCTCCTCAATGCTCTTCAGCTCACTCTCCATTGCCTTCTTCCACTCCTCAGCATCACTACTCTCCAAGGCTTCCTTGAGAGTTGCTGGTTCCCCCGGCATCTCCACCGGAGAGAAGAACGCGAAGGCACACTCCTCGTAGTCACTCTCCTCGTCATCTTCAACTATAAGTGCCGCTCCGGCCAGAGCTGACTTGGCTGGCTTTCCCAATGCATCATAGGTCAGCCTAGTAGGGGCTTGGATTCTCCTCTTGCCCCTTCCTTCCTCCTCAGCTGCAGGGACATGAAGGCCTTGGCGTTGCTGTGGGGTGACTCAGATCTGTGGAGCACTCGTAGTGCGAGAAGAAAGTGTCGGTGCACGCTCGCTCACTTGCTGCACCTCCTCCTCTCCTTCCTCTGCATCCTTGGCCTCCTCTCCCCCATTCACAAGGGAAGATTGCCTTGTGGTGGTGCTGCCACTGCTCAGCTCCAAAGGCAGCTCCACATGCTCCAAACCGGAACTCTTTACCTCCCCAAACCGCATGCCTATCTTTGCCTTATTCTCCACCTTCCAATCCTTGTACATCAGATTCTCCATGAATTTGCAGTCCCTGCTCACCAAGAATTTCTTGGTGAATGGGTCCCAAAGAATCCACCCCTTGCTGTTTTGAGCCATGCCCAAGTGCACAGCCCATATCGCCTTGGCACCGAGCTTGTTGTGCCGAAGATGCTTAGGCACGAGCGCCATGCACATGCACCCGAACACCCGAAGCATATCCACCTTTGGCTTCCTTCCAATCCACTCCACATAGGGCACCCATTTGTCTGCTCCCACATGAGTCAAAGCTCTGTTCTTGAATGTGCTTTCGCGTTCTCAGACAACAAGCCGAATGCAAACCGTAGGGTTGCACCAACAAACCCACCCTCGGATTGTTGGCCTTAGGACTTGGTTCTCTCAGTTCAGAGCCATCCCAGCCAGCTTGCAACACTTCCAATGCTGCTGCTCCACCAGCCTCTTAGTTTTTTTGACCTGTAAAACTCCTACCGCGATGCCGGTGGCCGCCACTACCGTAGTAGAGATCCCTCCAGCTGAAATCCTGCCCCCCAATATCATCACATCCTTCAGCAACGAGCCGCTTTACCCTCACAATCCACGTCAGAGGCTGCTGAGACTTCGATCCAGCCACACACGGCTGAAGCTGCGTCTTCACCGCCGCCTGTGTTGGCATTAGTAGCTACAACTCACCTGCCATTTCTGTTTCGCGTATTAGAGCCGGTAAAGGCAAATACAAACAGCACACCTCGTTTAGGCCCATCAAAACCCGCCGCCGCCGCCGACGACGACAACTACCCGCGTCCGTTGACCATCGAGCAGTGGCAGCAGAAAGCTAAGGAGAAATGGCTGCAGAAATTCCCATGGCTCATCATTTCGGCAACCTCATGGGGCCAACCTTGCATTAGGTGTTCCATCTACATGGTCCACATGGACCCCAGCTACCAGTACGACCGCGACGGGGAGGGTGGGCTGCACATTCAACAGCTAACGATGCAGAAACATCAGCATAACATCAAACATGAAGCAGCAGTGTAGCGGAAGGAGTTGAGAGACGGCATAGTCGCTGCACAGATGTCGATTGTCGACTTCGACAACGGTGATGCCGAGGCCAAGCGACTTGCAAAACTAATGGCAACTGTGATATTTATTTGCAAGAGCGACTCACCTATTGTTCTGTTTGTGACTTTGGTCTATTCCATGGCAGAGATGGGCACGCCCGACATGCCCCCTGAAGGAGAACGGCACTTACTACAGCAATCAATTGAACATAGTTAGCAGTATGATGTTTTGCTAAAGCTTTCATACCAACTACATTCTTGCCCTGCGTGCAAGTACGGTTTTGCCTAGTTGAGTGAGACACTCGTGATCTAGCTCCGTGCTCAGCAGATGAAGCACATCTAGGATAGTTCGTACCTAGGCATACAGCTGGACGAGAGCACGGACCGTCGGCGCGGGAAGCACCTCATCGGTCCTCTACAGCAACACGCCCGTAACTGAGTTTTACGCACATCTAACCCTTGAGCAGTGTGATGCTGCTACCCTACAAGCGTCTTGCTCAGCCACCTTGAGTCTACACATGGTGGCGGACGAGGGCGAGTGCTATGCACGCGAGAAGGAGAGCGCGGTGGTGGACGACATGGTCAAGCTCGCCTACCTTCACGAGCCTTGCGTGATGCACAACCTCATGCAGCGCTACCAGCGCAACCTCATCTACGTGGGTCTCTGAGCGGTGGAAATGGGTTAGATTAGGAGTGGGAGGGGGTGAGGGAGCAAGGAGGAGGGGAAGAGGTGGGGACATGTGTGGTAGTTTTGAAAAGCCCGCCTACCTGCATCAGCCGGGCGTGCTGCACAACCTCATTCAGCGCTACCAGCGCAACCTCATCTACGTGCGTCCAATTAAAGGGTGGGGTAGGCACTGGTGTGGTCATGTACTCAAAAGGCCTACTATGTCTTTTACAAGGCTTATTGGACACTCATGCTTCAGCCGTGCTTGTTGCACAACCGCATGCAGCGCTACTAGCGCAGCCTTATCTATGTGGGTTTCTGGGGGGTGGTAAGGGATTGGGGGGAGTGGGAGGGGAGTGAGGGGACGAGGAGGAGGGGTGGGGACATGTGTTGTAGTGTTGAAAAGCCCACCTGCTTGTACGAGCCGGGCGTGCTGTGCTGCACAACCTCATGCATTGCTACCAGCGTAACCTCATCTATTTGCATTTTGTGGGACGGGGAGGGCTTGGTCGACCTTGGTGGATGGGTTGAGAGTGAGGAGGCGAGATGGAGAAGGGGTAGCAATACAGTATCTTGGAGGGGTGTGCATGGCACATGCATGAGTGCGGTGGGCCACACAGCAGTGCTAGTTGCTCTGTGTGCTGGCATCATGAGCACATTGATATTGCACACGCGCACACAAACCCTTCTCCACTCTTCAGTCCTTGGCCCCCCCGTTTCCCCTCGTTCCTCTCGTACGCCTCCTGACATGGACGTGTTTTCCACTCCCCCCCCCCCCCCTCCCTCTCTCCCCTTCCCTTCCTCCCTCCCTTCCTCCTCCCCCTCAGACGTACACAGGTAGCATCCTCATAGTAGCCAACCCCTTCATGCGTCTTCTAGGCATCTACAATCGTGACATGCGAGATGCTGGCATGCAGTGTGGTGCAGTGTGGTAGAGCGCAGTGCATAACTTGCACGTGTTTCCCTCCCTCCCAACCTCTTTCAGACGTACACGGGCAGCATCCTCACAGCAGCCAACCCCTTCATGCGCCTGCCAGACATCTATGATCGGGACATGCGGGATGCCTATCGGGGCAAGCCGCTGGGCGAGCTCAGCCCCTACGTGTTTGCCATTGCTGACAATGCTTACAGGTGGGGTTGGAGGGGTGGTGGGGCGGGGGGAGTGGGTTGGGGGGTGGGGAGGGAGTGTGGTGCGAGGTGAGTTTAGGGTCGGCTCAAAAGTGACATGCGGGATAACTACCGCAGCCAGCCTCCTAGCGAGCTGAGCCCCCACATGTTTGCCATCGCTGACAATGCTTACAGGTGGAGGTGGGGACGAGGCGCTGGCAAGTTGGCAAGGCGTATAGGTGAGGTGGGTGCTCACGATGCCTACATGTGAGCTATCAGGTGAGAAGTACATGGGAGAGTTGGGCAAAAAGGGAGTGTGAGACGAGATGAGGGGCATGCGTGATGACTCGCAGAGTGCTGAGCGGACAGGCTAGCTCAACCCGCCCCCTTGTGCCCCATCTCCTCATGCCCGCCCCCTCATGCCCGTCCCTGATGCCCTCCCCCCGTGGTTTCCCTCCGCAATGCGCAGAGCGATGCGCGAGGAGCGGTGCAGCCAATCGACTTTGATCAGCGGGGAGAGCGGGGCGGGCAAGACAGAGACAACAATGGTGGTGATGGAATACCTGGCGTCCGTGGGGGGGCAGGCTGAGAGCGAGGGGGAGCGCAGCATTGAAAGCCAAGTGCTGGAGGTGATGGAAAAAACAGGCTGAGGCGCCTCAAATGAGGTGAGAGTGAGAGACAGAAAAGGGAGTAGGGCTCTAGAAAGCGGGGAAAAGGGAATGGTCTGCGTAAAGAGTAAGAAAAGGGTGTGAAGTGGACAGACTAGGATTAAGAGCAGTGCGCGGGGGGGACAACAAAGCTAGTGAGGGAGTAATCTGGGGGCAGGAGGGCAGAGCACGAGGGCGAGCGTAGCATTGAGAACTGAGTGCTGCGGGTGGGAGGGATGAGGGGTGAGAGGGATAGGACACAGTGGAGGCAAGGTAGGGGCGGGAGGAGAGGAAGTACCATTAGATTGGACGAGGGGAGTCGCGGAATAGGCCAGGGCTGGGGCGAGTGGGGCGCCATCCTGTTTGTGTCCTACTCTCTTCCTTCTCGTCTCCTTCAATCGCCCATCCTGCCCTGCAATTCCCTTTTTTTTTGGGCTTCCTCCCCCTCCTTCCCCTCTCTTCTGCCCTGTCTATATTTACCTGCAACAAACAGTCCAATCCACTGCTGGAGGCGTTTGGGAATGCCAAGATAGTGCGCAATGACAACTCTAGGTATGCATGGCCACCTCCCTGCCTTTGTACAGCGGCGATGAAAACTCCAGGTGGGATGCGTGCAGGGGAATGTGTGCATGAGGGATGGGTGTAGGCAAAGGGGTGGTGGTGCATGCAGGGGGGTGGGAGGAGGGGGGTTGCATGGAGTGGGGAAGAGTGCAAGTTGCAGGCAAGTGCATGGCAATCTATGTAGGCGGTGGTGTTTTCCCCTCAACGTGGAGCCTTGAGCAGAAGCAGATGCCTGGTGCACTTGTTTCATCGTCCATGAGTTGCCCTCATGCTCACTCGCGCACACTACCTCTGTCTTCCACTCCACGGCCCCCTCCACGGCCATGAGGGTGAAATGGCATTGGACGAGGAGCATGGTGGCCGCGGGTGAAGTTGAGTTGCACTACGTGAAGACGACAAGGCAGCCAGCTGACATGATGACCAAGAGGCTGGTGGAGCAGCAGCATTGGAAGTGTTGCAAGCTGGCTGGGATGGCTCTGAACTGAGAGAACCAAGTCCTAAGGCCAACAATCCGAGGGTGGGTTTGTTGGTGCAACCCTACGGTTTGCATTCGGCTTGTTGTCTGAGTGCGTGCATGCGTGTGTGCATGGAATGGTATGAGGGCATGAGATAATATATATTTCATGCTTACAATAGTGTGTGAATGATGAGGCATGATTTTGAATGTGTGTGTTGTGTGAATAGCGAGTTATCGCTAGTCGCGTGTCACGTCGTCGTTTGCGTGTCGTGTGCAGTTTTCTATTTTGTCGTGTGTGGAACGTTCGGCGTATCGCATGTGTGCGCTGCAGACTTCCAAGAACTCAAGGAAGAATTTATCTTGAAGAACCAGAGCCATGGTTTCAAGATTCATGTGATTTTGAAGCTCTCCAAAAGGGTAAACTTCAAGATAGTGAGAATAGTTACATTACAATGTGTAGTGTAACATTTCTCTTGGTGTAGGCCCTTGTGGAGGGTAGTTTCGAGACCCTTCGTGGTTGGGGACAGTGTGGCACTGTTCCACATCACTGTACCTCGGCTCTTGGGGTTTGTAGGAGCTGGGAGTCATTCCCAACTCGTAACTCTTCCTAATTTGTGTTCTAAGTCTATAGTGGCTCCCATAGTGCCGTTCGTTCAAACCGACGCTGTGTCATCAATCCTTTATCAAATCGTGCAATCTAAATTGCTTATTGTAGGCGACGTTAAGACGCTCGAGATCGAATTTATAGCAACTCATTTGAAGCTGTGACCAGAACGCTATCAACGTTTGAAGCCGCTATGCAGAAATGCATCTGTGCACTCTATCTTTCGTTTTAGGCACATTCAAGGCTATTGTGACTATAACAAGTGGTATCAGAGCCCCTTGGATCAGTTTCGACAATGGCTGGACCTGAAGAAAGGGGTGGCAGAGGTGCTGGTGGCAGTGGAGAAGCCCAAGCTCAAGGCCAACCCCGTGATTCAGCCATGGCGCCCATGCAACCAAGTCATTGAACTTGTGAAGACCAAACACCCTAGGCTCATCCCTAGGTGGGCCAAGACTTGGTTGCACGGGCGCCATGGCTGAATCACGGGGTTGGCCTTGAGCTTGGGCTTCTCCACTGCTACCAGCACCTCTGCCACCCCTTTCTTCAGGTCCAGCCATTGTCAAAATTGCTCCAAGGGGCTCTGATACCACTTGTTATAGACACAATAGGCTTGAATGTGCCTAAAACGAAAGATAGAGTGCACAGTCGGATTTCTGCTCAGCGGCTTCAAACGTTGATAGCGTTCTGCTCACAGCTTCAAATGACTTTGATTCAAATTGGATCTGGAGCGTCTTGAAGTCGCCTACACTTGGCAATTTAGATTGCACAATTTGATTAAGAATTGACGACGCAACGATGGTTTGAACGAACGGCACTATGGCAGCCACTATAGACTTAGAACTCAAATTAGGAAGAGTTACGAGTTGGGAATGACTCCCAGCTCCTACAAACCCCAAGAGCCGAGGTACAGTGATGTGGAACAGTTCCACACTGTCCCCAACCACGAAGGGTCTCGAAAATACCCTCCACAAGGGCCTACACCAAGAGAAATGTTACACTACACAAAGTAATGCAACTATTCTCACTATCTTAAAGTTTACCCTTTTGGAGAGCTTCGAAATCACTTGAATCTTGACACCAAGGCTCTGGTTCTTCAAGATAAAATCTTCCTTGAGTTCTTGGAATTCTGCTGCGCACACCTGCGACACGCCGAACGTTCCACACACGACAAAATAGAAAAACGCACACGACACGCAAACAACGACGTGACACGCGACTAGCGATAACTCGCTATTGACTCGAGACACACTTTCAAAACCATGCCTCATCATTCACACACTATTATAAGCATGAAATGTATATTATCTCATGCCCTCATACCATTCCATGCACACACGCATGCACGCACACGGACAACAAGCCGAATGCAAACCGTAGGGTTGCACCAACATCAGCCACGTCGCTCTTCTTGGACAGCACGTACACCCAGGTCATGCGGGTGTAGACACCCACAATGGTGAGGAAGTACTCTTCTCCAGCAGCTCCAAGCTTCAGGGGGCCCACCACGTCCATCACCACCTCATCAAGTGGTGCCTTAGCCGTTGCCTCCGAACTAGAGAACGGGTAACGGGTGAACTTGGCTTGCATGCACGTCGGGCAGCCAAGTACCTCATCGGGCTCCCCCTTCACACGTATGCCATTAACCATCTCATTCTTCACTAGCTGCTGCAAGATGGGCAGGGCCACATGCCCGATGCGCCGATGCAAGGTGAGCCAATCACACTCCCCCGTAGCCGAAGTCGGATTGGAGAATGCCGCACTCGCAATAGTGCCCCAAATGCTCTCTCCGTAGTCCTCCTCCGCTGCTGCATTGGGGTTCTCCTCATCCTTGTGCTGCTTCTTGGCTGCTGCACCACTCTCCTCGTGTTCACCGAGCTTGCTGGTCCCTCCAAGATTGCACTTCTTGGACTCAATCTCCTTAGCGCGACCGTACGTGCCATCGCCGCTACCAACCGCTTCACCCTTAGTAATGATGCTTGCTGCCACTTGCCTCTCCTTAGTCATGGGGACCATAGTTATCTGCCACATCTTGTTGAAGTCATCCCTATCCTCGTGAAGGTCCCAAAGGATCTGCTCGCCAAGCCTTGCGGTGTAAGTCTTTGCACCCTTCGAACTCGTGTCCATGCCGGCCTTTTGCAACCCCGCACGGAAATCAGGTTGGCTGCCAGGTTGGGAACCCAGAGCACGTTCTTGAGGCCCACCATCTTCCCATCAGCACCCTTGAACATGGCCTTGCCCATGCTTTTCACCTCTGCTCACTACCCCAAAGCCGATTTGACATGCTTCACCGGTGACGGTTCAAGTTCGGTGAGCAAGTCCGCACGAGGTGTCATGCTATAGGTAGCGCCGCTATCGATCACCCAATAGTCTAGAGAGTGTAGGGTCACCTTCACCACAGCAGCAGGCTCCTCAAAGCTTTCATCCTTCTCTGGTGCAGCCGGTGCTTGCATCAACACGAAGAAGATTTGACCAGGAAAGCGATCGTCCCTCGACTCGCTCTCGTTGTCACTGTGCTTCATATTTGCAGCACCACCTCCGCGACCGCCACGGCCTCCACGGCCTCTTCCTCTCCCCCCTCCCTGCTCCTCTACCCTCTTGGCCTTGAGCAGGAGTCCATCCATCAGGGAGTTTGAAGCAATCGTGCCACATGTGTCCGCTGTTGTGGCAAAAATGACACTCGCCGTCGAACCGTCCGCGACCGCGTCCGTAGTTCTTGTTGTTATTGCCATAGTTGCCACTTCCGCGGCCTCCATTGTAGTTGCTGAGTCCAAACCTTCCTCCTCCTCGTCCTCTGCCCCTTCCACAACCATATCCCCGGCCGATGCTTGCTTCCCCGGCGCCATCCGAACCCGCCAACTCACGACGGCGGAAATCCTCTTGAAGGATCGCTCGCTCCACGACTTCAAGCGAGAGGCGGGGCAAGTCATGATTGAGGTTGATTATGAGCGAGGACCATGACTCTGGGATTAATGCCAGAAACTTGGTCTTCTTTTGCAGCTCACTGTAGTTCAAATCAGCTACCTCAAGCCGCGTCAACAAGTCGAAGAATTTCTGCACCCCTTCTTCAACCGCTTCGTCTTCTTCAATTCGTAGTGCCGCCATTTGCCGTTCCAACACCACCGCTACCGCCGCTGTTGCAGGAGCGTGTACACCCTTGAGAGCAGCCCATGCCTTTGGTCCCTTCTCTGGTTCACGCTGGAATGGCTTGATGTGACGGATTTGGCTGCTCCCCAACGCTTGCCCAAGTAAGAGATAGCCTTGTGCGCTCTTCCGCACCCACGGGCTCTTCTCCGGGTCGTTCTCGGGGCGCTTCTCCGTTCCTTCCATCACCTCCAGCAGGTCATAGTGGTCAAATATGTTCTCCATCTTGAAGGACCATTCAGCGAAGTTGTCACCGTTGAACTTGTCAAGCCCAAACACCCTAGGCTCATCCCTAGGTGGGCCAAGACTTGGTCGCATGGGAGACATGGTGGGATCACGGGGTTGGCTTTGAGCTTGGGCTTCTCCACTGCCACCAGCACCTCTGCCACCCCTTTCCTCAGGTCCAGCCATTGTCGAAACTGCTTCAAGGAGCTCTGATACCACTTGTTATAGTCACAATAGGCTTGAATGTGCCTAAAACGAAAGATAGAGTGCAAAGTCGGATTTCTGCTCAGCGGCTTCAAACGTTGATAGCGTTCTGCTCACAGCTGCAAATGACTTGATTCAATTGGATCTGGAGCGTCTTGAACTTGCCTACACTTGGAAATTTAGATTGCACAATTTGATTAAGAATTGACGACGCAACGATGGTTTGAACGAACGGCACTATGGCAGCCACTATAGACTTAGAACTCAAATTAGGAAGAGTTACGAGTTGGGAATGACTCCCATCCTCTACAAACCTCGAGAGCCAAGGTACAGTGATGTGGAACAGTGCCACACTGTCCCCAACCATGAAGGGTCTCGAAACTACCCTCCACAAGGGCCTACACCAAGAGAAATGTTACACTACACATTGTAATATAACTATTCTCACTATCTTGAAGTTTACCCCTTTGGAGAGCTTCGAAATCACTTGAATCTTGAAACCATGGCTCTGGTTCTTCAAGATAAATTATTCCTTGAGTTCTTGGAAGTCTGCTGCGCACACATGCGACACGCCGAACGTTCCACACACGACAAGATAGAAAACCGCACACGACACGCAAACGACGACGTGACATGCGACTAGCGATATCTCGCTATTGACTCAACACATACATTCAAAATCATACCTCATCATCCACACACTATTGTAAGCATGAAATATATATTATCTCATGCCCTCATACCATTCCATGCACACACGCATGCACGCACACAGACAACAAGCCGAATGGAAACCGTAGGGTTGCACCAACAGTATGTGTGTGCGTTTTGTTACTTGGAGCGTGACACCCTCCCAGTGGAGTAGAAAGTTTGCCACGGACTTAGTACCCTTTGGCTGGGTGTTATAATGCAGTGGCCTATTGCTCTGCTGGTGCAGCATGCATTGTAGAACCATTTTGCTTCTGTATATTATTGCTTGCGTGAATTGGTGTACTAGATCCAGATTTTTTTGGTGCTTCAGTTTGCAACTGGTGCGTGAAACAAGGGTACTCACATACCACCTACGGTGGACAGGCCATTCCAGGGTTTCGGTTTTGCGAAGATTTTGTATCTCTCCCATTCCCTTCGTTCATCTCACCCCATTCATTCCGTCACCCTCCCTCCTTCCCGTGTGCCCATTTGTGCGTGGGCAGGGAGTGTTGGAGGCTATCTGCATGTACTCAACAGGCTATCCCACACGCCGCACCTTTGAAGACTTCGTCGACCTCTTTGCTCTGCTGCTGCCCTCGCTGCTCGAGCAGGAGTTCGTGCCTCTGCTGCTGCTCTCCCACTCTCTCTAGCAATGCCCTTCACCCCTCCTGTCCTCTACTATCCTATCCCTACGCCCCTACTGTGGCACCGAGAGCCCCCTTTAGCACATCGGGCAAGACAAGGGTCTCTCAGCAGTCGTTTCCTGACTCCCTGCCTTCTTTCTCCCGTTTGCACTCTCCTTCATCTCTAATCCTCTCTTTTCCTCTCTTATCCTCGCTTCTCATCTCCTCTCCTCCTCTCGTCTCGACTCAGCTCCTCACATCCTCCCCCCACCCCCACTCCTCTCGCAGCATGTCAGACGTTGAGTATATGGAGGCACTGCTCAAGTGTCAGAATCCCAACCACTAGACCACTGGGATAAAAGGGCTTGTTTCAGTAGCGGGTCAGTGCGCCCATAACCCCCCAGGCAAACGCGCCTGTAACCCCCCCTCCCCATCCCTTCTCCTCTCCCTCTTTCCTCAGCATGTCAAACGTGGAGTATGTGGAGGCGCTGCTCAAGCATGCCAAGCTCGAAAACTACTAGGTGTTTCTGATTTGATAGGTGCAGACATCGGTCCACGTGTTTCCTTCCATAGGTTTGGTCCCTCCCGAGAGAGCCAGTGAGGCTCTCTTCTCTTCTGTCCTCCAACGGCGGTTCCACTCCTTCCCGTCCACTGTCAAGCGCCCCCCTCCTTGCCATTTCCTCAGATGCCCCCCCCACCTCGGGTGCGACGGCCCCCATCGTTCCAGCACCTAGGTTCCTCTTCGAGCTCTTTCTTGTAATATAATACGCCCATGTACCCCCTTTTCCACCTCTCTTCCACTTCCCACCCACCGTGCCCTTCTCTGGTACACTCATGCCTGCAGATCGGGCTGACCAAGGTGTTTCTACGCGCGGGGTAGATTGCGCTGCTGCAAAGCATGCCGCTAACCAAGGTGTTCCTGCGCACAGGGCAGATGGCACTGCTGCAGAGCATGCGGCTGGACGCCATGAACGAAGCTGCCAGGAAGATTCAGCGCGCCACGCAGCACTTCCTCTTCACTCGCCACCGCAAGCGCGTCGTCGTCCTCATTCAGACACAATGGCGAGGTAAGTGATGGTGGATGGTGGCTTGAGGGGCAATGGTAGGGGGACGAGGATTGAAGGCCGAGGATTGGCATGCAGGAGCAGGAAGAGCTGCCAGCTGCCCCTCTCCTACCGTGGGGCCCTACCACCACTCACTCACCTCGTTCCCTTTCGTCCACCACTTCCTAACTTTCTCTCCCCCCTATCCCTCCAGGCAACTGTGTGTGTGCATCGTACCAGCATCTGCGGAGGGATGTGGCGGCGACAACCATCCACGTGGCCGTGGTGGTACGGGCTGATGTGCCCTCACTCCTATAGCTGCCTTCTGTTCCATCCCCTTCCTCCACCCCCCCTCTCCTTCTCTTCCCTTCTGTTCTCGGCTTCCGGTTTCGTCCCTCACCTCCTCTTTGTCCCATCTCCAACTCCCCTCCAGGCCACTGCGCCTGCGCGGCGTACTAGCAGTTGCGGAGGGACATGGCAGCAACGACCATCCAGGCAGCAGAGAGGGGGCAGCAGCAGCGCCTGCGCTTCCTTCAGCTGCGCCATGCCGCCCTGGTGGTGCAGGCCGCTGTGCGCATGCACCTCTGCTGCACTGCCTACATCAACATCTGCCGCCGCCTCGCCACCACATGCATTTAGGTGCGCTCAGATGACTGCTGTACATTGCTTCAGTTACACTGCTGGTTACTGGAAGGCTTGCAATCGTGGGATGTATGGCATGCTGCGGTGCTCCATTGTGTGAGCTGTGAGCACGATGGGGGACCCACCCGGGTGCCACATGCATGGATGAGTTGCTGGACATCGGAGAAGTGAGGTGGCGCTTGGGGATGAATGGGGTGGGGTTCGTGCCAGGGTGATGCATGCTGCTGGCAGACGTTGCACTGTCAGAGGGGTGGGGTATGCGATGTGAGCCTGGGATGAGTTCCCTTTGATCACCGACGAATTTGGCAGCACTGAAATCCATTATGTTCCTCCATCTAGCCGTGCTGCGCGTGTCACCTTCCAACCCGTCTCCCTGCAGATCATGTGGCGAGGGTACATTCACCGTCGGCCATGGAGGGCGCTCAAGCACATGCTGGCGGGTAGAGTGGCGCACCTCCGACTGCACAACCTCAAGCTGGTCAATGCCTCCCTTCCCTCTGCTCTCGTCATAATGATTCGGTCTTGAGACATCTCATAAAAAACCCTCGGCTCTCACCGTTGTCAACAACACCCTCACCAACTCACCACACCACGCCTTCTCACACCAGCTCTCCCACCCCACCACCCCTCCATTCCTGTCCTCCTCCATCCCCTTGCCCCTTGGGCCACGATGCCTAAGCATTGGCGGTTCTTAGCATCCATACCAACCAATCCCCTCTCTCCTTCCTTTTTGTTTCTCCTGTTCTGCATACGCCTCTCACCACCATCCATACCAACCAATTTCCCTTTCCCTCCCCCCTCCTTTCCATGGCCTTTATGCGTCGCATGCTTTGCTTACATCTAGGGCGCCAACTGGCAGGCTGAGCTGGCGCCTCTCAACAGCCGTACCAACCAATCACCTCTCCCACCCTCCCTTTCCTCCCTTTGCCCACCCTCCCTTCTCCTCCCGTGCCTCCTGCTCGCCCCACATGCAGGAGGCAAGTTGGCAGGCGGAGTTGGCGCCGCCGCGCAAGAAGACAGACGTGGCGATTGAGACCATTTGCATGATGACACTGCCCGTGATGCGAGTGAGAGCGATGACATGCCGTTGAGAGTGATGCGGGTGAGGGGGGAGGGATGCAGATAAGAGGGATGGGGGTAAGAGGGATGGGAATGAGAGGGATGCGCTTGAGAGAAGAATGCGGTTGAGAGGCATGCGGTTGAGAGGGATGCGGTTGAGAGGGATGTTAGTAATGGTGCTTGAGAAAATTCTCATGAGCAACTCTTGTACAGCTTGTGCTGGCAGCGCATGGTGTGGCAGCGCATTCACTACACACACTCAACCATACATATTCGTTTCAGGAATGTCTTGCTTTTCACTCCTTGTCACCTCGCTACCCTCCTGCCCCTGGTCACACCAGTTCCTTGTCTCTCCCGGACTACTCTCATCTCCCTTTTCCATTCTCACCCACACCCACTTCTTTCTCCCTATCCCTTACATCTATCTCTACACTGCTCTCCCGCCCTCATGAAAAGGCTGAAAAGAGCCGTGAAAACTCAGAGCGCCAGCTGGCCAAGGTCCGTGCTGAGTTGGAGCGGACCAAGAAGGAGCCGGCGGGCAAGGCGCGTGAGGTGGCGCAGCTGTTGGGGCAGTCGGAGAAGAAGCAGCAGTGGGCAGAGCAGGCAGAGGAGCGGTTGGAGGAGATGCTGAGGGAGCAGGTCAGGGAGCGGGCAGAGGGGCGGGAGCGAGTGCTGCACGTGGCATGTGTGGCCTCACATAATCCAGCAGCAGGTGGAGCAGGAGGAGTAGCAGGGGCCCTGAGCAGCCTGCCTTCCTTCGGTGGGTCAGGCTTTTCCTCCTCCTCCTCCTCCTCGCCCTCCGCTGCCGTGGCTGTCGTGGCTACCCTGGCAGGGGGGGCGCAGGGAGGGGTGGGAAGGGCGGGGGCGCAGGAGGGAAATTTGGGGGTGCCGGAGGGGTCGAGGATCCTGGCAAGGATGGCGTCGAGAAGACACCCCTCACCGCACACCCCTGCCAAGCACCCCACGTGGGAGGAAACTGTTGCTGCCGCTGCTACTGCTGGCGGTGCGAGTGCTGCTCTCACCAGCTCCTTGTCGTTCTCCTCCTCCTCCAGTCGCTCCTCGCCCGTCCCTCCCCTGCCTCCCCCCTCTGTGGCATCCCCCCCTAGCAGCGGCGGCGGGGCTGGCATGGCGGCGGCGGCAGCGGCAGCAATGGCAGCGATGGACCGGATGGAAGGGGCAGTAGCAGCTGTGGCAAGGGGGGGAGGCACTCGCGACGGTCCCCGTAGGGGACATGGAGGCGCGGCGGACGCCCATCATCTGCCGTGCATTCAAGAGTCAACGTCGTGGGAGGAGGGCAAGGAGAAGAAGGTAGCAGCTATCAGTAGAACCAGCAGCGGCGGCAGCGCCAGCAGGGAGTTTTGTGGCAACATCAGGGGGTTGAGGCATGTGCGGTTCCCCTCCATGGGACTGGGGAGAGCAAAGAGGCCGGGTACACACGTGCCAGCACGCTGCCTGTCAGGAGGAGCTTGTTGCGGCAGCAGTCCATGGCGAAGGCCCTCAAACCCGCTACTAACGGTGATGTTGCTAGGAGCTTTGGCGGCGCGCCTGACGGTGCGGGTGCACGGCTTGCGAGTATCTGACGGCTGCAGTCGTCCAACCCGCGGATGGGTGGAGGAGCAGGAGGGGAGGGTGGTGGTGGGCCGGGTGTGCCGCGACCGCTAGTGTCGGCAAAGTCACTGACCTGCGACGAGGCCGTGCGCATGCTGGCGAGTGCATAGATGGATGCGAAGGAGGCTCAGAAGGTGAGAGGGGCGCTCAAGGTGAGGGGGGGTTTTAAGGTGAGGGGGGGTCTCAAGGTGAGAGGAGGTTTTAAGGTAAGGGAGGGTTACATTGTGAGAGTGAGCATGAGAATGGGGTTCCATAAGGGATGTCGGATTGGATATGTTTTTGGACAATTGTCATGCAGGAAAAAATGATCTAACATATCCAATCCGACTTTGCCTCCCTCCACCGCAATGATGGCAGCAGAGGCGGCACTGTGGTGTTGCCTAAAAATGATGTGTGCAGCAGATATCCAAGAACTCAAGGAAGAATTTATCTTGAAGAGCCAGAGCCTTGGTTTCAAGATTCAAGTGATTTCGAAGCTCTCCAAAAGGGAAAACTTTAAGATAGTGAGAATAGTTGCATTACTTTGTGTAGTGTAACATTTCTCTTGGTGTAGGCCCTCGTGGAGGGTAGTTTCGAGACCCTTCGTGGTTGGGGACAGTGTGGAACTGTTCCACATCACTGTACCTCGGCTCTTGGGGTTTGTAGGAGCTGGGAGTCATTCCCAACTCGTAACTATTCCTAATTTGTGTTCCAAGTCTATAGTGGCTGCCATAGTGCCGTTGTTAAAACCGACGTTGCGTCATCAATACTTGATGAAATCGTGTGATTTAAATTGCCTATTGTAGGCGACATCAAGGCGCTCTATATCCAATTTATAGCAAGTCATTTGAAGCTGTGAGCAGAACATATTTGACCACTATGACCTGCTGGAGGTGATGGAAGGAATGGAGAAACACCCCGAGAACGACCCGGAGAAGAGCCCGTGGGTGCGGAAGAGCGCACAAGGCTATCTCCTACTTGGGCAAGCGTTGGGGAGCAGCCAAATCCGTCACATCAAGCCATTCCAGCGTGAACCAGAGAAGGGACCAAAGGCATGGGCTGCTCTCAAGGGTTTACACGCTCCTGCAACAGCGGCGGTAGCGGTGGTGTTGGAACGGCAAATGGCGGCACTACGAATTGAAGAAGACGAAGCGGTTGAAGAAGGGGTGCAGAAATTCTTTGACTTGTTGATGTGGCTTGAGGGAGCTGATTTGAACTACAGTGAGCTCCAAAAGAAGAACAAGTTGCTGGCTTTACTCCCAGAGTCATGGTCCTCGCTCATCATCAACCTCAATCGTGACTTGCCCCGCCTCTCGCTTCAAGACGTGAATCGAGCGATGCTTCAAGAGGACTTCCGCCGCCGTGAGTTGGCGAGTGCGGATGGCGCCGGGGCAGCAAGCATCGGCCGAGGGTATGGCCGTGGAAGGGGCAGAGGACGAGGGGGAGGCAGATTTGGCAGCAACAACTTCAATGGAGGCCGCGGGAGTGGCGGATACGGCAGCGACAACAAGAGCTACGGACGCGGTCGTGGCTGATTCGACGGCAAGTGCCACGATTGTCACAAGAGCGGACATACGTGGCGCGATTGCTTCAAACTCTCTGATGGATGGACTCCTGCTCAAGGCCAAGAGGGTAGAGGAGCAGGGGGTGGGAGAGGAAGAGGCCGTAGAGGCCGTGGCGGTCGTGGAGGTGGAACTGCAAACATGAAGAGTGTCGGCAACGAGAGCGAGTTGAGGGACGATCGCTTTCCGGGTCAATTCTTCTTCATGTCCACACAAGCACTGGCTGGTCCAGAGAAGGATGAAGGCTTTGAGGAGCCAGCAGCTGTGGGGAAGGTCACCCTACACTCCCTGGACTATTGGGTGATGGATAGCGGCGCTACCTACAGCATGACACCTCATGCGGACTTGCTCAGCGAACTTGAACCGTCACCAGTGAAGCATGTCACATCGGCTTTGGGGCAGCGAGCAGAGGTGAAAGGCATGGGCAAGGCCATGTTCAAGGGTGCTGATGGGAAGATGGTGGGCTTCAAGAACGTGCTTTGGGTGCCCAACCTTGCTGTGAACCTGATTTCCGTGCGGCGGTTGCAAAAGGCCGGCATGGACACGAACTCGAAGGGAGCTAAGACCTACACCGCGAGGCTTGGCGAGCGGATTCTTTGGGACCTTCATAAGGATAGGGATGTCTACAACAAGATGTGGCAGATCCCTGTGGTCCCCATGCCTAAGGAGAGGCAAGTGGCAGCAAGCATCAGCACCAAGGGTGAAGCGGTTGGTAGCGGCGATGGCACGAACGGTCGCGCTAAGGAGATTGAGTCCAAGAAGTGCAATCTTGGAGGGACCAGCAAGCTCGGTGAACACGAGGAGAGTGGTGCAGCAGCCAAGAAGCAGCACAAGGGTGAGGAGAACCCCAACGCAGCAGCGGAGGAGGACTACGGAGAGAGCATGTGGGGCACTATTGCGAGTGCGGCATTCTCCAATCCGACTTCGGCTACAGGGGAGTGTGATTGGCTCACCTTGCATCGGCGAATGGGGCATGTGGCCCTGCCCATCTTGCAGCAGCTAGTGAAGAATGAGATGGTTGCTGGCATATATCAGAAGGGGACCCAGATGAGGTACTTCGCTGCCCGACATGCATGCAAGCCAAGTTCACCCGTTTCCCGTTCTCAAGTTCGGAGGCAACGGCTAAGGCACCACTTGATGAGGTGGTGATGGACGTGGTGGGCCCCTTGAAGCTTGGAGCTGCTGGAGCTGAGTATTTTCTCACCATAGTGGACGTCTACCCTCGCATGACTTGGGTGTACGTGCTGTCCAAGAAGAGCGACGTGGCTGAAACGGTGAAGACCGATTGGTTGCCGATGGTGGAGCGGCAACAAGACCGGCTAGTGAAGACAATTCGCACCGATCGAGGGGGAGAGTTCGTGAGAAAGGAGTTCTCATTGTGGCTGAATAAGAATGGCATAAGGCACTCCCTCACCATGCCATACTCCCCTGCAATGAACAGCATCGCCGAGCGAGCGAACCGTACAATCACGGAGACGGCGCGCGGGTTGCTCATTGAAGCCGGGCTACCCGACTACTTCTGGCCTGATGCGGTGTGGAGTGCGTGTGTGGCTAAGAACAGAGCTTTGAATCATGTGGGAGCAGAAAAATGGGTGCCCTATGTGGAGTGAATTGGAAGGAAGCCAAAGGTGGATATGCTTCGGGTGTTCGGGTGCATGTGCATGGCGCTCGTGCCTAGGCATCTTCGGCACAACAAGCTCGGTCCCAAGAGCCGAGGTACAGTGATGTGGAACAGTGCCACACTGTCCCCTACCACGAAGGGTCTCAAAACTACCCTCCAGAAGGGCCTACACCAAGAGAAATGTTACACTACACAAAGTAATGCAACTATTCTCACTATCTTAAAGTTTACCCTTTTTGAGAGCTTCGAAATCACTTGAATCTTGAAACCATGGCTCTGATTCTTCAAGATAAATGCTTCCTTGAGTTTTTGGAAGTCTGCTGCGCACACCTGCGATACGCCGAACATTCCACACACAACAAAATAGAAAACCGCACACGACACGCAAACAACGACGTGACACGCGACTAGCGATAACTCGCTATTGACTCGACACACACATTCAAAACCATGCCTCATCATTCACACACTATTATAAGCATGAAATATATATTATCTCATGCCCTCATACCATTCCATGCACACACGCATGCACGCACATGGACAACAAGCCGAATGCAAAACGTAGGGTTGCACCAACATGTAGGAGCTGGGAGTTATTCCCAACTCGTAACTCTTCCTAATTTGTGTTCTAAGACTATAGTGGCTGCCATAGTGCCGTTCGTTGAAACCGACGTTGTGTCATCAATACTTGATGAAATCGTGTGATGTAAATTGCCTGTTGTAGGCGACATCAAGCCGCTCCAGATCCAATTTATAGCAAGTCATTTAAAGCTGTGAGCAGAATGCTATCAACGCTTGAAGCCGCTGTGCAGAAATCCGACTGTGCACTCTATCTTTTGTTTTAGGCATATTCAAGCCTATCGTGACTTTAACAGATGCTTGCTCCCTTGACGTTCGTCCGAGCAGGGCAAAAGAATTCCCCGGGCAGAGGGGAAAATGCTTGTGGTAATAAGTCAAAGTAGAGCTTAAGACGCAGAACATGGCACACTTACCAGAATTTCCAGAGATATCACAATATCGCCAAAATTTACACGAGTCAATTAACGAGGTTCACGCATGCATAACTTAGGCATCGGGCTGTCGGATTTTTACATTTTTTCAAGCGTCAAGCATCAGATCGATTTCACGCGTGACGCTCCAGCATGGGAGCGTTAGATGGAACATAGCATTGCTGTGCTATTCTGTTTCGCGTGCTGTGCTGCGTTGCTGTTTGCTGTGCTGTGGTGTGCCAACCCGCCCAACCCAAATCTTCCCTCCCACTACCGCCCCCATGGCAGCAAGGCGAGGGAGGTGTGCATGCTCAGCCAGAGGCTGCTGGCGTCGCATGCTGACGGCGACGTGCAAGAGCTGCCCGTGGACAAGCGGCAGGTGCGTGCTGCTGTTTGTAATGTTTCTGTGCAACACACATAGGATAGAATAAGATGTGTAGTTAGCAGCTTCACCAAGGGGTTGTTGGGTGTGCCCTCCAACCAGAATGTTGGTTGAAACCGACCGAACCATCCCATCCCCCGTGTCCCCCATCTCTCACCCATCTCCCCCACGCCGCCGCCCTTGCCAGCTTGCAGGAGCTGCTGCTGTCAGAGGTGGCGAGCAGCCGCTTACCGTTCGGCCCCGAGGGGCAACTGGTGGCGGCGTGCATGGTGTACCGTGCGCTACTGCGATGGGGGGAACTAGAGGCGGAGCGGACCAACACGTTCGACCGCATCGTGGAGGCCTTCCAGCGCGGCTCCCAGGACCAGCTGCTGCCCTCGCAGGCCTATTGGCTCACCAACCACATCGTGCTCTACTACCTTGTGCCCCTAAAAGGCACCAAAAGCCAGCCTGCCCCCAACCCAACCACACCTTACCTCTCCCCCTCCTCCCTTCCCCCTCCCCCCCTTTCCCCCACCCCCTCCCCCCCTTTCCCCCACCCCCTCCCCCCCCGGCCCCCAGGTGGTGTACCAGTCGCCAGTGGAGTAGCCCGCCCAGGAGAGTTTCTCCTTCTCCTTCTTCGGCATGGCCTCCTGCCCCGCCACTCCTGTCAGTGCCCCAACCTCTCAGTCCCTTCTACTCCCACTCCCTTCCATCCTCTCGCTTCTTTCTACACTCATTCACTTCGACCGTCTCAATTATTTCAACCCTCACTTCGCTGCACCCTCTCACTCCTTTCCACTCTCATCTCAGACACTCACCTTCCACCTTCTCACACCCTTCCACTCTCTTACTACCCTCCCACCACTCCCTCCCTTCAACCCACGCACTCCCTCCCACAACTCCCTTTCCCCCTGTTCCTATCCTCCTAGCCCAAGGCAGCTGTGGAGAGGGTGGATGTGATGCTGTTCAAGAAGCAGCTCGCCACAGGCACGGAGCGCCTCTTTGTCACCATCAGGGACGCCACCAAGGCGGTGTCAACGGGAGTTGTTGTGGGCCCCGTCCTTGCTTGGGCGGAGCCGACTTCGTAGTCAGGTGTACGGGGAGTGCAGCCGATCAGCTGCACTGTGAGACGCCGAGTTCGGCACGCAGGTCGACGGGTTTGGTCAACCTGCACAAGGCCACTCCCACTGCGCCAACGATAGAGAGCCGGCGGCCGACCTGACCTGGTGGTCGACGAGAGGGGGGAGCCAACGTTGACCTGGACAGGGGAGCTAGAGGGCGCCAAGCTGGAGGGCGCAGGGTAGCAGGGTGCCGAGCAGCAGGGCGCCGAGTCGGTGTGGTCGACCTAGGAGGCCGCCGGGTGTCGACCAGCTGGCGCCGACTTTGGGGACGCTGGCCTTGTGTAGCCGGTGACTGACAGGGATGGCCGACTAGGCGTGGTTGCCCGGTCGACCAAGTTACCCGGGCGACGTGTGCGATGGTCGCCGGGGTGCTTTCTGCAAGGCCGACCTTGTGAGATAATTGACGAAAGAATGAATGAACTAGAAAATGAGATGGGTACAAGTAGAAAACACAAGTGTTGTACCCTCTAAGAGCTACCCCACTACAGCCTAAATAGACTATAGCAGATATAAGTTTGACACACCCCCATAGGCAAAGTGGGGGAGAACAAGAGGTCACAAGACCAGTCAAGAAAGGCAAAGCAAGCTCAGGGTGGATCACAAAGTCACCACACAGTCTGAGCACAAGCAAAGGGCCATAAGGCCAGTTCACATGCAGAGTTATATAAAGGAAAGCAAACAATACAGTGAACACAACCTAGCAAGTGTAAGCATGCAGGTATAAGCATATAGAGTACAGTACAAGCAGAGTCAAGAAGTCAACAAGTGAGGCACAGTAGGTACAAGGCCTAGCACAGTACAGAAACGCTGATGATCACAAGGCTGAAGTGCCTTGGTGAAAACATCAGCAGTGTTGGCCTGAGAGGCCACGTAAGCAAGACGAAGCTGGCCACGCTGCTGCAACTCTCGAGCAAGGAAGTAGCGCAGAGCAATGTGCTTCGTTATGTGCTCCACTCTGTGCTCCTGACACAAGGCCAGCATGGCCTTGTTGTCGACGTACAGAACTGGAGGAGAACGAGGTGCCTCTCCCAAGTCGATCAGCAGGTAGGTGAGCCAGCGAAGCTCATGTGCAGCCATGGCTCCAGCGTAGTTCTCAGCCTCACAACTGGAGCTGAGAACAGAAGAAGAGCGGGTAGACCGCCAAGAAACAGAGCCGGAGCCAAGACTGAAGGTGTAACCCTGTGACGACCGCTGCGTAGCCAAGTCGTCAACCCAGGAGGCGTCAGCGTGACCAGTGAGGACAACTTGAGCCCGTCCTCCAAGCACGAGCCCCATGCCCGATGTACTGCACAAGTATCGCAACACCCTCTTCGCAGCATCCCAGTGCACCTTTTGGTGCCTACCGGGAGCCACGTAGCGAGCCAGAAGGCTGAGAGGGTATGCGAGGTCAGGTCGTGTGCAAGTCATCAGGTACATGAGGCAGCCCACAAGCTCTGGATACGGGCCACTCGGCTCTACGGACTCGTCCGAAGGTGGAGCTGAGAGCGAGTGACCGGTAGGCAGAGGAGTGGACCGTGGCGAGGAGTACGTGAAGCCGAAGCGCTGAAGGACCTGCTGCACCATGTGTGACTGAGTCAAGGTAATGGTGCGCTGTGCTCTATCCCGGGTGATCCGCAAGCCAAGATAGCTTGTCAGCTCACCCAGGTCTGTGCACGTGTGTCTCTTCTGCAGCTCGGACTTCACGTGGGCGAGTGCCTCCGTATCAGCAGTAGCAAAGACAAGGTCGTCTACGTACACAAGAACGTAGAACGGCGGCAGAGTAGCATCAGTGCGTAGAAACAGAGAAGGGTCAGCAGTGGAAGGAGCAAAACCAAGAGCAGCAAGAGTCGTCCTGAGCGTGTCGTGCCATTCACGGGGCGCCTGGCGGAGACCGTAGACTGGCCGCCGGAGGCTCCACTGGGTACCAGCAGGAAACGACCCAGTGAAGCCAGGTGGGCGGCGCAGCCAGATCTCCTCGTGCAGGCTGCCCTGTAGGAAGGCTGTGCTGAAGTCAAGCGAGTGGAGCTCGTAGTCACGCTGAGCAGCAACGTGCAGCAGTACCCGAAGAGTGGTCATCTTCGGGGTAGGGGAGAAGGTCTGAAAGAAGTCAACTCCCTGTCGCTGACTGAAGCCACGTGCAACGTAACGCGCCTTGAAGGCAGGCGGAGAACCCGGTGGCCGCTTCACCCTGAAGATCCACATGCCACTGACGATGTTCGCCCCAGGTGGGGGAACCTCGTCTACGTAGGTGCCTGTGGACTTCCAGGAAGCCATCTCTGCGTCCATGGCTGCCTGCCACTGAGAGGAGTAGGGACCCTCTATCGCCTCTGCGTAAGAGCGCGGGGTCGGGATGTCTAGTGCATCCGGGTCTCCCTCAGGGGCAAGCAGCATGGACACGAGATGAGGTGAAGCAGCAGCAAAACACTCAAGGTCCTCCTGTCTGTCCTCAAGGACGTCCGTGCCAAGAGCACACTCACCCCCGACGGACGGAGGACAGACAGACGCAGACGCAGACTCAGCAACCAGACTAGCGGCGTAGTCTAGGCGACAGGCTGTAGCAAAGTCAACAAGCTCAGCAACAAGAGCAGACGCAGCAGAGGACTCAAACAGAGGGTCAGTGACAGCAGTGGCCAGAAAGCGCGTGACAGTAGGACTAGCAGCACGAAGGGAGTCAGACTCCGGGTCCGGACCGTCAGGAAGAGAGGACGCAGGAGGAGAGGGCAGAGGGACACGCTGTGGAGCAGTAGAAGGATGCAGTGTCATAGAGTGAGTGCCTGGGACAGGAGGAAGACGCGGACGCGAAACACGACCAGCGCGAACAGGACGGACAGGCGACGCAGAACGAGACTCAGGTGAGACAGGACGAGACTCAGGCACACGACGCTCCGTAAGACCTCTAGTCGGACCAGAGTAAGGAGAAGGACCAGGCAGCGGAGAGGCCGGCTGCAACTGCGACTGGGACTGGACAGGCGGTGGACTCAGGAAAGGAGGAGGAGGACCAGGAGAAGGCGGGGAGCCAACAGACCTCGTGATTTAAAAGGCTCGATGGATGCTCAAACCGAATCCTGCTCACAAACAAGCTGTTCTCTAAGTATTTGTTGGGTGGACAGAGTCAACTGTGCTCACTTGACTCACTGACACGTGCGGTGTGCAGTGTGAACACATTGTAGAGATTCTCGTGTGGTATTCTCAGGATTAGAAAATTTTGATGCATGATGTCTAGGTCAGGTTAAGTAGGGGGAGTAGGCTTACATCATTCAAAAACCCTTCAAGGTGTCCAAACTTCGCGAAGGTAAAGACCTTCCTTGGTTGCGGTGCAGGCAGTGATGAACTCTGCCTCAGCTGACAAAACTGCAATCAGCTCTTGTTTGCATGACTGCCAGGAGATTATGCCTTCAGGCTTCTGGCGGAACATAAATCCCGTACGTGAGCGCACGTTTGTAGTATCACCCGCGTGATCCGCATCGACGTAGCCTAGTAGTGAAAGCGGCAACTACGGCGACTTATGATTAGTTAAACCAATCGTCAGTATAGATACAAAGTAAGAAAGTGCTGCTTCAAGCTTCCGTAGATTCTCCCCTTTAGGTCGCTTAAGATATTGAGTGAGCTGGCTAGCAAAATAGGACATATCTAGACGACAAGTGATTGCAGTGAATAGTAGACTGCCGAGAAGCTGTTGGTAGCGTGTCACACCAGCGGCGGATTAAGCCTGTACATTCTATGATCGTGGTCGTAAAGATGCTGCTGCCAGCGTTGAGGAGCCTGCCGAATTTCGTAGAGTGATTTGTTGAGGCGGCAAACGAGCGTAGGATCCTTGACATAACCGTGTTGCTGCTCGACGAGAATGATTGTGTCAACTAGCGCATAGAGGAATGCAGTGGAGACGCCTACTTGGCGAAGCTTGAGCCCCAATGCAGCAGCGGAGGCGAGTAAAATTTGAAGAGACGTGTGACGACTAACTGGAGCAAATGTCTCTCCGTAATCAACTCCCTACTTTGGTCGAAACCACGTGTGAAGAATTGAACAGGAATGGATGAACTAGGAAAGTGTGAGATACAAATATAAAAGCTGTACCCCTTAGTGTCTACCCCACTACAGCCTACATAGGCTAAGGCATATATTTCTGACACACCCCCATAGGCAAAGTAAGGGAGAACTAGGGGTCACAAGACCAGTCAAGCAAAGCAAAGCAAAGCAAGCTCAGGGTGGATCACAAAGTCACTACACAGTCTGAGCACAGGTTCAAAGGCCACAAGGCCAGTTCACATGCAAGTTCATATATAAAGGTAAACAAGCAAGTGCAGGAATATATAGATCACAGTACAAGCAAAGTCAAGAGGTAAGCAAGTGAGGCCAAGTAGGCACAAGACCTAGCATAGTACAGAAGCGCTGATGATCACAAGGCTGAAGTGCCTTGGTAAAGATATCAGCAGTGTTGGCCTGAGAGGCCACGTAAGCAAGGCGCAGCTGGCCACGCTGCTGCAGCTCACGAGCAAGGAAGTAGCGAAGAGCAATGTGCTTCGTTCTGTGCTCCAGTCTGTGCTCCCGACACAAGGCCAGCATGGCCTTGTTGTCTACGTACAGAACTGGAGGAGAACGAGGCGGCTCTCCCAGGTCAGTCAGCAAGTAGGTGAGCCAGCGTAACTCCTGTGCAGCCATGGCCCCTGCGTAGATCTCAGCCTCACAGCTGGAGCTGAGAACAGAAGACGAGCGGGTAGACCGCCACGAAACAGAGCCGGAACCAAGGCTGAAGGTGTAACCCTGTGACGACCGCTGCGTAGCCAGGTCGTCAACCCAAGACGCGTCTGCGTGACCAGTGAGGACCACTG